AAGTTTGTCAAACATTTTGGCAAAGGTCGGTAACAAACTAATTGGTCTATAGCTAACAGGATCTTGTGGATTTTTGTTCGGCTTGCATATTGGTGTTATAATAGCAGTTTTCCATATCTTTGGACAATATCCTAATCTTAAGTATTATAAAGAGCTGTTAATGCAGTAATAACATTGCGAGGTAATTCTTTCATCATTTTATTATTTATTAAGTCATGGCCTGCTGGCTCTTTTCTCGGTTTTAAAGCCTTTATTATTTGATGTCTCAGACGGGGCTACAAATTTAGTTTTTGTTGGGACGGAATATCGCGGTATTGATAAGTTTTCTTCCACAAGTCCTTTCTTGAATTCTCCTGAGTTGTCTCTTGTTCATTTAATTTATGGATGTTATTACTCTTTCACATTATATTTGCGGACGAAGTGCTGCGATCTGTTTACATAAGGTCACCGCCGACTGAATCATTCGCCTGTCTACAGAAGGTACAAATCAAGTAGATTTGATATAGATGACTGTGAGCCGGATACACAGTGAACCCGCACAGTCCTGCGCAGTGTCAGACCGGGTTTTAGAACATGATCACTGTTTAATAACTTGTCAAGAGAAAATTTAAAAAAATATTTCTGTGACTTTTGTGAATGACACGAATTGTTGTTACTATATTATTTAGTACATTACCTTAATCATGAAGAAGGGGCGAGACTCCTAAGTCACTGTCAGAGAGATGCTTTTCGTCACCTTTGTACTTGTACTTTCAGACTCAGCTGTCTGCGTGGAACTGGAATTTCCTGATGTACTAGATTCACTCTCGGAATCGTCACTATTTACTCCCACGTTTATTACAGTTTCTATGGCTTCTTCCATTAAACCGTCCCGATGCCAGTACTTTTCCATTATTTCTTTCACTTTGTCACAAGCTTTTTTCCAGTCTTGTTGGGTAATGCTGCCTATTGCTGATTTAGTTAACTGCATAAGAACTGGAAGAGAAATGCTGCTAACATTTTTTTAGGCAATTTTTTGTTTCATTGTGTTCCAAATCATTTCTATTGGATTCAGGTAACAATGATAGGGAGGTATGCGTAAAACTGTGAATCCATGCTTTTTTAAACTGTCTACAATATAAATTAGTCGGGTTTGTGAATTCTTACTAATTTTAAAAGTTCATCCCTTCGTAAATCAGGATTGAAATTAATTTTGTTGCCAGGATTGTATGTCTGATTTGCGAGATGAGTTTAGAACTGTATTTTCTAGAACAGAGTGATAAGATAAAACGACAATACTTCAATCTGGAATGTTTGAAATCAAACGCCCTTTATTATAATTGTCATTATTCATTTCGTGATGATAGTTCTCAGAAGCTGATTTCGAGTGATAAATTAATTCAGCCTTCTCGATAAATCCCATCTCCCCACCTGCATGAACTACTATTGCTCTTTGACCAGCGTTTTCATTCTTTAGCACACCAGGTACTTCATTGTGTTGCCAGCACTTATCAACTGTGTAGTGGGTGTGCACCCAAGTTTCATCTGTGTAAATCACAAGTCTCCGAGCACTTTTGTCATTCTCTCTGAGTGTTCTTAGAAACGTCGCAAGACATTAAACAATGTCTCCCCTCTCCTCTAACACTGGTCTTCTATTTTTGCATTTTTGAAATTTGAAACCAATTTCCTTTAATATTTTCCATAATGTTGTTCTTTTCCCAAAGAATTTAATGTCAAGGTCTTCAACGGCATTGTAAAGCTTTCGAAGAGTCGGAATTTCCCGCTTAACCTCATAATATTCCAAAAACTTCCTTTTCACTAAACACTTCGAGAAATCATCTAAAAAAACTTGTTTCTTTCTCAGTCTCTTTTTTCTTGGGGTCAAAACTTTTTGACCGCTCTGTTATGCTTTATGTACATCGTTTATTACATTGTACACTGTTCTTAAACTCTTTCCTACTAATGCTGCTGCTCTGTCCATAGGTTTTCTTAACGGTATTGATAATCCCCTATTCTTTTCCTCGCGACAATAGTTCACTACATTACTGATGATTATTTTACTAGCAGAACGCACATTCTTATATCGAAAGAGATTTGATTTTTCCGCGGACATCGCAAAAAATTAAAAAACATCGCGTACTTTCACAGCTGGCGTGAGTCGCTTCAGCTCTACTCGTAGATATTCGGGTGTACGCTCGGGTCCCTGGCATTCAAAACATTAGTTTCTAATTCTGCCGTGTGCAAATTTAAAGTGAACGCGTAATACGTAAACTTCAGGTTTTGACATTTGATTTCGTTTATCTCTTTCTTGGTTTCTTCCTTAAAAGTTTCCTTTTGTTGTTTGATTTCATTTGTTTTTGAAATTTCATCTAGCATTTGTTTTGTGTTAGGCTCGATATTAGAATCAGTCATTGTTAGTTTGTTTATTTTGGTGTGAGCAGTGTTGTCAGTTTCGTACTATTGTTACATCTTATCTTCGTTACGTTATTAATTTTATCGGTCATTGTCGACTTCGAACCCTATCTGATATAATCTGCACAGATTACGATAATTCTGGGACTTGAAACAATCGTTGGTATTAGGCGTTGAATGCAGTAGGTGTTCGGTTTTCAGCCTTCACCGTTAGAATGTGTTGATGTCCTAGTAACGAGTTCATTTATGGTGTTTGCAATCTGAAGTTTTGTTTCAATCCTTCGGGTTAGTTTCAGTTCTTTCCGTCAGATTGGGTTGTTTCCGTTATAAAATCTTTCATTCGCAGTCTCCGAAGGTCGCCTTACCTCCAGTTAAGATAACTTATTTCTTCCCTCTGCTGATTTCCACATCACTGCCTTTACTTAAAGTAACAATGGAGGTTGTACCGAAAAGAGTTTCACTCTTCTTTTATAGATTGAGCTGTTATAACGTCTGTTACATAAATATTAACTCATACGTTCGTATAATGGTCCTACAATAACCAACCATTCAGGCTTATCAAGACCATACTACGTATAGTAGTAGTAGTAGCAGCAGCAGCAGCAGCAGCAGCAGCAGCAGCAGCGAGGTTCCATACGGCGGACGCCGCTTCTCGCATCCTAGTCGCCTGGTCCTTCTATCTTCCCAATCCTTCTCTTGAAGACCGTCTCTTCTATCTTATTTTTCCATGTTTTTCTTTGGTCTGCCACACTGCCTTTTTCTTTAAGGTAGCCATTATAATATTTTCTTACGCCATCGACGTTCTGTCATCCTTTGGATATGACCACACCATCTCAATCTTTTAGCATCAATTACATCCATTATATCAATAACAATACCCAGTTGATTTTTTATGTCAACATTGGGTACTTTATTCAGTAATGTAAGGCCAAAACAACACCAAAAGTTCATTTCCATTGATTTTAATTTTTGCTCTTCGTTCTGAATTAAAATCCAAACTTCTGAACCGTATGTAGATATGCTTTCAACCAACGATTTGTACATTCTTATCTTTGTCTTGCTTTTTATTTTTTGACTATACATAACATTACTCAACTCTCTTGTCACTACTCTCCCTTGAGAGATCCTATGTTTTACTGCTACACATTCACCTTCCTTTGATATACACACAGCAAGGTACTTTTAAGATATTGTATTTTTAATACACCTGCTCCCAATTATTAATTAGTTATTATTATATATTAATTAATTATTTGTTGCTTGCAACCCTGCAACAACATACTAAGTTTTCGATGGATTCATAATCGAATCCCAGTATGTATATTCTTCCTTTAGTTTCCTCAGCATATACTTTACATCCTGTTCATCCTCGGCAAGAATAACCTGGTCATCAGAGAAGTGAAGAGTAAACAAAATTATCGTTGTCAACTTGTATCCCCATATTCCGACATTTACGCCCCCTAGTTTCAGGAGCAGCATTTATATATGTTTTGAAGAGAGTAGGAGCGATACAACCTTGTCTCAGACCTTTAGATATTTTAAATGAGTTCATTACTTTTCTTCCAATTTTGAAACAGCTTGTCATATCATTTTACAGGTTTTGAATTGCTGTTAATAATTGTATATTTATGTTTTGATTTCTGAGAACTTCCCAGAATTTTTCTGGATAATGAAACGTTGTCACAGACGTTTGTGAGAACTATAAAGACCATATGTGTATCTAGAGTATGTGCAAGCCTTTCATCTATTATTTGATGAAGGCAAATATTCCATCAATGGAGTATCTTCCTGCTTGAAAATAATTTTGTTTAACATAATCTTTGATTGCGTTTTCTTATCGGGTCTATATTTTTTTCATATATTCTAAAAACATAACTTTTCACACTAATTGGTCTATAATTTGTGCATTCTTTACGATCTCCATTTTATGTATATTTGCTGTCTGCCATTCTGTATGGACATCTAAACTTCTTATATAATTAAATTTGTTCAAAGAATTGGTTGCGTAATTGCGTCCAATGTGACAATTTTATATCTTATCATATAGTTGAAAAAATGCTAATTTCTTGAATAATACATCTGTGCTACTTTTTATTAATTCTATTGGTATACCAATTGCTCCAGCAAATCTTCCATTTATCATCAACTTAACAGCTTCTTGGATTCACTTTTTACCGATTTTATTAATGTTTTCATTAGTATCTACAGCTGTTCGTGCTATACTCAAGAATTCCGTCCGATGTTCTCTGAACATCTTTTCATCATATTCTTCCCATTTTTTATCCTGTATAATTAGAAAATGACAATTTTTCGTTCCAGTTGTTCTTCATGGTTTTGAGTTTCCATGCTTCTTTCGATCAAGACGCGTCTAAACACGTTTCTACTTTTACAAATTGGTTTTGCCATACACCTTTTTTGCTGTTGTTATTCTCCTTTTTACCTCTCTGTTTAGTTTCATGTGTTGTTCTATATCATCTTGTTGATTTTTTGAAAGCCATTTGTGATAAAGATTCTTCTTTATATCTACTTTTTTAATCTACGTTTTTTAAAATGTTAATTCCACCAGAACTCTCATTGAAATCACGCTCTATCTTTATCTTTCTCCTAAGATTATGTTTCGGGCTTTTCAAACCCAAGGAAGGTTGCCTTCTCCACTGCTAAAGAGCCCCTCCTACCCCAAGGGCGAAGGAGAAATAAAGGAGGATAGCAGAGAGGAGTAGAGATGAAAAGAGAAGGATGCAGAAAGAGAAGAATAGAAAATGGAGGACTCCCTAGCCCTCGAAATCTAAAACACAAGAGATCTAGAGTAATAAAAGAGGATAGTATACAGCAGTATGGCACAAGTAAGTGGAAGCAATGCCACACTTGAGACCCTTCTTTTCCGGCCTTGGGACCGGCATAGTCTGATGTCGCCGCGCTTTTCGGCCCATCCGCCACCGCAGGTACGTCGAACAGCATAGATTCCGACAATCATACGCGGAGTTACTACGTATATTTCTCCGTGTATATGTACGTATATGAAAGTAAAAAGCAACGGAGTTCTTTATGCGCTTAATTATTCAGGTTTTCTTGTATTCCCACAATTTAATAATTCCTGACTTGCGGGTTGTTTAAAACAACGTATTAAGATAAGAGCGCGGGGGTGAAAGAGGAAACACCTTGAGCGCGGTTAAATTCGCGCGCCGGCGCCGCGAGCCCCAGTCGCCGCCGCCGCCATCGCCATGCAGGGGCCGCGAGACGACCCGGAGCCCACGATGGTGAACGTGTTCGAGGTGCTGAAGGAGGCGGCCGCGGGCGCCGCTTTCTGGAACGATTCGTCCGTCGCCGCGTGCGCCGGGGACATCCGCCGAGTGATGGACGGAGCTCTGGCGCGCGAGCGCTGGGCTCTCATGAGTGAGTGCGCGCGAATGCTTGCTCTACCTACAAGGGACGCCCTTCACACGCAGTTTTCGGTCCTAAATTCAAATCAAGCGCGGGGCTCTCATGAGTGAGTGCGCGCGAAGGCCTGCTCTGGCTTTACGGGACACCCTTCACATGCAGTTTGTGGTACCTTGATTCAAATCTTCACACGCAGTTTGTGGTCCTTGATTCAAATCAAGCGCTGTGCTCTCATGAGTGAGTGAGTGCGTGCGTGGGCCTGCTCTGGCTGCACAGGGCGCCCTTCACACGCAGTTTGCGGTCCTTGATACATATCAAGGGCTGGGCTATCATGAATGAGTGTGAGCGAATGCCTGTTCTGGCTGCACGGGGTGCCCTTCACACGCAGTTTGTGGTCCCTTGACTCAAATCAAGCGCTGTGCTCTCAGGAGTGAGTGCGTGCGAAGGCCTGCTACGGCTTCACGGGGCTCCCTTCACAGGCATTTAATACAAACATGTTTGGTGCAAAATGGAAATGTGTTGCTCAATTAATAACTTTCGCCTTTATGTTGTGTGTGAAACTACTTTTATATATGAATTATTGTATTTTCTTGACAATTGGACGGAAATTAATTTGTATGGCTTTAATTGCTTCTTTGTGATGACATAATTGAAAACAAACAGGTTAATTTCAGAAATCGGAGTACGAAAATGCAGGGAATTAGTTTTTTTGAGTCGTTAATATTCAATTCAGAGACATTAAACAGGGGATTGGTTGAAAACTGCGACTAATAGACAGATTTACATAAGTAGGAGTAATTTTCCTTACCCGAGAACGGTAGTATAAATTTAATAGACGACTAAAATATCAAACTTTATATCGCCCGTTGAGCCCAACCCCGCAAGTTAAGACATTTTGAACCTGTTCTCAGACATTGTTCTCAGAACGAAAATACTTAAAATTTCAAGTTGTTATAGATGAATTATTAACTGCCCACCATTCTGTGAAGTTATTTCACCAATGATGACCTATGTCTAAATATATAGTTGAGATGAAGTAAAATGAGTTCTATAAATGCAAGGGAGGGCCCCAAAATTGCTATTAATTAGAAACATTAAAAGATCCAAACGTATACTTTTAATTATTTTATATAAAAAAGGAATTGAGAAAACATGTTACTCTATTTCAACGCGCAAATGTCTCTAGAAATTAGGACTTTTAATACTCAATTTTCATTTGCCGTGAACTTGGGAGAATTGTCTTCACGTTTCTGTTGTATTTTTATTTTAAAAATTATCTAGAAGTATTTCAAAGACATTGATAGAAATTTCACCGCATCAGTTTTGTTGTATCGCGGCTCGAAATTTGCTGACTGAAAACACTTCAAATTGATAGCTTTAGTCGAAATGACGAGAGAGACACGACACCTCACAATCCAAATGAAAAAAAAAACTTTCGAGTTCTAACGATATGCCGACGCGGAGTTGAGATAACAACTCACGACTCAGATGAAACAAATGTCCCTAAGTTGTGACAATGATAATTTTTCCCACTTATCACTGAAACTCGTGGACTTGCAAAGGAAGCGAATTCCGGATGAAATTGCTTAAACGTTGTCAGTGAAGTGCCGAATCGAAAACTCAACTCTTCAAAGATCTCCAGAAGTCTATGTGGAAGAAAAATTGTCTTAGTTTAGAGCTGTCCTAATATATTAGACAGTACGTATACAGAAGAAAATTGTCTCTAAAATTAAAATGTATTAATTCCCAGTACAGGGCAACTAGATGTTACTCTAAGCGAAAGTACCAAATTTGAACTCAAAAGCTTCTAATCTGTTATGTGTAATCATATCCTCAATTTACAGAGGCATTATGATTTTCGGGTACAAAATTCCTTGTATCTCTTCGCCACCATTAACATTTTAACCGTCTGTAGAGCAACACTAATATATATTAATCATGTTATATATTAATCATGCAAAGTTAAGATTCAAAAGAACCTGAAAGACTTTCAGACCAAAATATTATACATAGTATTGTTGAGGTGAATAGAATACTTTTTTCCTTATTCTAGTGTTGTATAAGAAGCAAGTGATATTAAAACTTCATATGCTGTTCTAAGTTTGGTTACGTACTATATACAGTATTATCTCAGAATGCTATTTAAAATGAACGTTATAGGACGCTGCAACATAATTGTTCCTTCTTTTCCGACCCAAACGTTACTCTAAGGCTATAATGCATCTAGAACCTTACATATTACAGTAGATATAATTAGGTTTCTTACATCGGAGATTCTTTCACAAGGTATGATTCGACATCGTGGATCGTGTCTTCAAATGACTGAGATAAAGTGATGCCCCCGTTTCGTCAGCGGAGAATGTTACATACTCGTACTCTAAGAAACGTAAATCGTAAAAGAACTTTGACTCCTAAATTTCTCCGAAGAATTTCTATTAAGAGGCGCTGAAACGGATGCTGAATGGATTGCTCGGCAGTTCTCCTTGGTGGGAAAAAGAGTTTGCGAATTGAGGTCAGGGTGGCACCTCAAACACTCGCAATCACGCATCATGGAGGAATATAGAATAGAAGGGAAACTCTCGTGTCACCATGTACAATAAGGTACAAAAGTTAAATCGACAACGCTGAACTCTGTGGCTAGAATAGGTACTTCTTGAACCTTGAAGCAGCGATCCCACTATCACGTTACCCGATCTACTATTTGAACATTCAATGTAGATATCACGTATTCTGCTAACTTTGCGCCTATTTAAAAATAACAAAATAATTGGGAATGGGAATAATCGGTTGGCAACTATAAAAACAAACATGTTTGTTTGTAGTGTTCGTAAAATATATTTTGAAAACAATTTTACATAATATTATAGAGCAATGCAACACAGGTACAGAAGAATAATCAGGTATTGACGATATTAAATCATTCCATTACTACACATTACATTATTGAAACAGCTATTGATGTTATCACGTATCCGTGTAATGCAATTATTAATTATCTCCAACGTTTAAAGTTACAACACAAAACACATCTTTTTATGAAGTACAATTAGCATAAATGATTTTATATCTACATCAATGACTTGCACGTTGGATCAGATGTACTTTGTCTTTAGAAACGATTTTGGTCATTACTGTAAAACGTCTAATACACCAAATAATCATAGTAAAAGTAGGTTGTATGAAAATGTAAATATTTGATACGTCTTGTATCCGAACCCACGGTCTGCCGTTAATCACGCATCTCTATCAATTGAATTATGGAATCAAACAGCATTCATCACAATTTACTTGTAAGGAAAATGCAATCTATTAGCATATTTGCACTTTGTGATAATCCATGTCAAATAGTTTAGAAAATGATCAATTTATCAGACCTAACGTTTACCCAAGTATCAAAAAACAAATCAATTGGAATTTGTACGGATGTTATAACAAGAACATATTTTTTAACAATTTATTAAGTCTGATAACATGTACTATTTAAATTTGTAATATTGAATTACGGAAGCCTACAAAGTTCATTATTTTGGCACCATCAACACTTATTACAAATTTCCATGAATTCTTTCCACATGGTTGTAGATAGTGGAAGTGTGTCTAATATTAAATTTATTCACACACACACACACACACACACACACACACACACACACACACACAGCAACATGCCATTTGGACCTTACGGTTATTTATCCTCATCCACATCTGCAGGTTGGATGTGAAAAGATGCATATTCTATTATGAATACAATTTGCTAGTTTAAAACGCAGGTTATTTTTTCTAATTCATCACATTTTCATTAACATCATACAATTGAATGGGCAATTGTACAGGCAAGATTTGTAGGCTTATATTCAGTAAGAATTGCAAATGAGTATACATTTTTTGTGAAAATTTAGTAACAATTTTTTATTAAAGAAACATTCATTAATCTTGGAATACTACAATTGTTTTGCCTATTTATTTACGAATCAGTGTTATTCCTCAAAACTGGTTGCGTAGGCTTCAGCGGCCGGAGTTTGTGTTATCTAGACTATCCGGGACGAGCCGCGTCACTGACACGGTGGCTGACGTTTCGGCCAGCGCATTGTGGCCTTCTTCACAGCGTACTGCTGAGTACAGCAACGGCCGCGAAGTCGGAGACTCTTGGTGGAGGTTGAAATCGCCCAACGGACCAGAGTTTCTCGGCGGTACTCACGTTGTTAGCGCCGAAATAGGCGCAGTGAGGAGTCGGTAATAACAAATGCCAGGTCCGCCCGGCGATTTGATTGATTACTAGTGATTCCGGGCGCGTTTACGGCTAAGGTCATTCGTCCCGTAAGTGTACTTGTGCATACTGCAC